AAGCACGAGATCGATAAAACCAGACATATAATTAATAATTTGAAAAATTAAAAATATTACTTGCTAATGGTGAATATAAATTTTGGTGTGATTCCAGCTTCAGACATTGAATTTTTGCGACTATGTTTACGTTCATTAATCAGTTACATAAACGAAACAAGAAAATAAAACACCTTTATTTCAATTAGAAAACTCTTTCATTTGCTTTGGTAATTAATTTAATCATGTAATATAGTAACAGCTGTGCCTCCATGTCAAAATTGTTTTTAAAATATGGTCCCGACACAAATAAGTTTGCGTCTGAAACAGCTGCGCCCGTGAATGAACACTCCTTTTCCTTCTAGCCGTACTTATTCGTGATGTGGAACGAAATTTGCAAAATAGTAAAGTAAAATAGGGGTGGTCCACCCTGAGATCTCGAAAAGGGTTGTACATTTATATTTTCCAAATATATTTTTTAAATCAATTGACAAATACAATCAGGGTTTTTTATTTTTTGCAAAATTAATTTTTCTACAGTGATATTAATTTAAATTTTAGTTTTATATTATCACTCCATTTTCCAAACTCTATAAAACTGTAACTTTGAGAAAAGAGAATTTGCGAAAAACAGGAAAACATTGTTTGCATCTATCATGAAAGAAAATATCTTTTAAATATATTTGCAACCTTTCAAATTTCAAGCTCGGTCACCCCTATTTTAATGTTTTATTTTGCAAATTTTGTTCCACATTTTTATGTCACAAAAGTTCAAAACATTTTTCCAAAAAATAATTTTCAGTTATTAAAGCTTGCTTATTTACTTCATTGTCAAAGACGAACATTTTTTTACTTAAATCTAACCTACTGGAATCTGCATTCCTTTGACTATTCTTTATTTTATTTGATGGGTATTTCACTTTCAATAACAAAAATTAATTAATTCTCAACACTAGCACCAAAAGAATCAATCAACTGAAACGTGCAAAAATCACTCCCCAAACATTTAAAACTACATATTATGAAAAATTGTATTCTAAAGAGCTAATTAGTGGCAATTTTTTTATTTCGTAGGAATGCAGAATACACTGGATCGGTCAAATTTTAAATAAAAAAAAATCTATTTGTCAAATTCCAAGTTAAAAATGAGTAGGCTTTGACAATTGAAAATAAATTTAAACGTTCTAGTTATAGTATCATTTTAAAAAATTACTTGAAATACCTTCCCTATTCGATTTAAACAATTTGCGAATACTTACCTTATTAGAATTAAATGAACTCTAGTGGAGCTACATATTCTTCACAATAAAGTTAGCCAATGACAAAAAATTAAAATATGTGAATTTTTACATATTTTCACTCTCAGAAATATTCCCCAATTCGCTTTAAGGGTGAATATTTGAATAGAACCGTTACAGGATGTTAAAAAATATAGTTCAGGCCGTTAACCACAGGTCCTTTAAACGAAAATGAGTGTTATTTTTTCAAAATTAAGATATTTTTATTTATAAAAAAACTAAGGAGTGAACGAAGAAAAGGGGGTTATAGCAACCCAGCAGCCATTGTCCCTATCCTTAATATTTTCCTATGCACGCCAATGATTTAAGAGTATTGTTTTTTATAACCAGCTTGTTTTTTAAGTTTTTAATTGTTTAAAAAAAGAACCTTCAATATTTTTACCTAATATCTAATTTTATATAAGTATAATAATTTTTATCTAAGATTTTATGAGCCTAAAAGTTCGCCTCTCAAAAATGAATTGAAAAATTAAACAGCTAGTGTGAACATCACATTAAAATATAACGCTCGAGCTAAAAAATAAACAAAATTATCTGCTTACCTCCGTTACTTTTTTTATGAAAATAAAAATTAGATGCAACATTCCAAGTGCCCGTCTTTAAAAAACACGAAATTATTAATAACTTTTTATTCATGTATTTTGAAAAAATATTCATATAAAAGTACCATTTTCGTTCAAAAAATTTGTAATTAGCAGCTTGACACTCTTTTTGTAACACCCTGTACATTAAATGAATAGACAATTTTAGATAGAAATTAGTAATGTGGTAATAGGTACGACTATGAACTTGATTTTATGAGGTTATTTCAGATAACAGTACAGCAACAGATTTTAATGGTTAATCAACTTTCCATATAATAAACTTGTGATATGAACTTTACAACTATGGATGTTGCACGATAGTGTATATTTATTTCTCAATTAATTTCAATTTTCAGTTCGTATAGAAACTAAACACGTTTTCCTGTAAAAACTCCAAAAACTCATGAGCCGATTATCACGTTGACATTAATAATAAAATCAATACTAAAATCAGTTTCGAACATATTTTATTTAAGATCTAATTTCTGGATTTCCTTTTTTGCTGAACATATTTTTCAAAAATTTGTACTCTGCTATAGCGCCATTTTCGAAATTTTAAGTATGCCCTATAACTCATTCAAAATTTTCTCCTCTGGTAATATCTGAATAGAATGTTTCTTTAACTCGAAAATCCTGGACTGGTCTAAAATTTTAATAAACAGAAAAATACTCTCCCTGTCGATCAATTTAACCCTTGATTGAAGTTTACTAACGATAACACTGCAACGTTACTTTAATATTTTGTACAAAATTTCAAATTATTATTTCTAAAGTGCAGTAAGTAATGAACAATGATTCCAATATATTTAGTCAACTTTTACTATTTTGCTCGATCTACTTAAAAATATATATATGTATAACCCTAGCCAATTCAGAAAAATAAACGTTTACATTATTTTTTTAATAAGTTTTAATTTAGTAAACTAGTAATATTACTCTTTAAAAATATTCCTTACAACTAACTAAAAAGATATATTCGTCCAGTATGTAGTAAGTATTGCCACATTGTTTTCAATTGGTTTAAATTTTATCATCTCTCTTCTCATAGATAATCATTCGGATTCCATTTAGGCGATAATCCCAGCAGTAAACTTCTCAAAATACCTTTAGAGTCACCACCTGCATGTTAATAACAATCGTTAAAATCAAGTAAAACTGGATAATTATTCCATAGCCACCCGTAGATCCCAAAGATACATGAAGTTAGTTAATTTTTTGTAAACAAATTGCACCAACCCAGACAGTATACTACAATCGAAGACACTACTCATATTTACAAGTCGTCTCCCACAACTAGTAGTGTTTTATGAAATATTTATTTGTACAGCTAAGTTTTCAGACATTTTTACGATTACAAAAGGCTAAATAATTTTTTAAATTCTAAAAATAAATGAAATCGAACCCATATGAATAATCTATACTTTATAATTACTGGTAGACAATAATCAAATAAATAAAACATTTAATACGTAATTTCAAAGAAATGTGGTACTTTACTCAAACTACTCAAAATTTAAAAATAAATTTGTGTATACTGTAAAGAATTAAATTAAAATGGTAGATACTAAAGCAAACGATTCTTAATTTTCCCATTTTCTGAATTTGATTTTCTTAAATCCGAATTGGAATATAAAATTGCCGTTTTTGTTGATAGCAAATAAAAATATTTAGGTTTAGATTTTGTCTCAAAACAATTTCTTAGCATGTCGGTTACAACCTGGTTGATACACAAATCATACACTATTAATTTCAAAATAAAATTTGGAAATTTAACCGTCCTCGAGTTGGAACTGAAAATTGTGGAAAAAATCAAGTACATAGTCCAAAAAAATTGTTTATGACCACTCCTCCAAAGCTAATAAAGTAAATTACTTACCTTCAAATTGCTTATTCTGCCACTAGAAGTGTATTTTCCAGTCAGGAACAACGAAAAATTGTTATTTATAACGGAGAACCCCTTCTTGTAAGGTTACGTGTAAATAAAAAAGGATGGGACATTTCTTAAAACTCAAAACCTTTTTACAAAACGTATTTTCTTTTATAAAATGCATCAACTTCATGGTCTACAAAAAAAACTGATTTTTAATTCCAGTTACGGTTTAAATAGAAAATGATTTCACTAAGTTTTTAAAAACTTAAAACGGTGAAAGAAAATTGAATTTGCAGCCCAGTATAGAGAATACAACTAGATATAATAAAATTTAGAAAATTTGACTACACTTAATTTTACTGAATTATAAAAATTCTCTCGACAATTATATTTTCATTTTAGATTTACATGATTTTTGACAGATTTGCAATGCATATATATTTATAAAAAGCTTATTAATTTTTCAAAATTATTTTTAAATTCTGAATTTCTGAACCTAAAAATAAATCGCCGTTTTACACTTGCCTTACGTTTTCTGTAATATTTACTTCTCACAGAAACAATTATTTAGCTAGTTTGTATATTTACATATTAGTTACATCAAATTATTCTTATAATTAGGAACTCTTATAATAACTGATTTACACTATCAGAAGTCCAAAAATTTAAATTTCTGTTTAGTCTTAAAAATGGCACATAAGTAAAATAGACTAGAATTTGAAAATAAGGAAATATGTACTAATTTTACAATTTTAACTAAATCATTATCCTAATCAAATTCTGATAATTATGCAGATCTGTAATGTTGGTTTTTTACCATATTCAGTTTGGTTTTAGGTAACTTTAGCGGAAAACTAGTTTTTGGGCCAGAATTTTTTGTTCTCAAGATATAGTTCTAGTCCTATAAACAGTAATACTTTTGCTAAATTTAGGTAGCATAGCATGTTTATTTTCAAAATGTCTTTTGAGATTCGATTGTTGGTGGAACTTTCTATCACAGAAAGAGCACTGGAATCGTGCCTGTTTTCCACACTCGTATACCATGTGTCTGCGCATGTTGCCTCGATGTTTGTAGATTTTCCCGCAGTTGGCGCAGGGAAAACCACCTGTTGAATCTGGATCAATATGATGTAGATACCAATTTCCCTCGCCTGGAAATAAATACTGCTGTACTAGCGATTTCAGACGGCTATTTCCATTTACTTTTTGGCCCAATAATAATTTTTACTCTATTACAAAGGTGTGGGGTGCAGCAAATAAAATAAGATATATTAAAAAATCTTTATTTCAAACTAATAAAGAATACAGCTTTAAAGTATGTTAATCTGCTTTGGCCACACCTAGGAAGACGAGGAATAATTGGGGAAGATGGGTCTGTAACAACAGAGAATAAACATAAAAAATATATTATGCAGAGAACCTTCGATCTATTCTCATTTCATCTTCCAATAAACTTAGGAGAAATCGTAAAGTTGAAAATTTTTAACCAAAATAGTTTTTTAATAAAACCCCAGACCTTATTGAAATAAACTGTGAATAAAACTTGTTTAGCTATTTTTTTGTTTAAATCGAACGTATGAACGAATTTTCTGAAATCCCACCCAGACAAAGATTTTGAACAATTAGCAAAATATAATAGCTTTAAATATTTTAATTGTTTTAAATAAAACGACCTTTTACAAGTTTTTACATTATTAGAATATGTTTTCTGTCGAATACATCATATGGAGTTTATGGTTTGGTTAATAGAGTAATGATATTGCATAATACAAGAGTAGTATGCTGAAAAAATTACACCACACTAGTTTTATATTATGATCATTTAGACATCTGTTACCAATAAGGGCATAATAGACCCATAAATGTATTCAAATATACAGGATATTTTAGGATTAAGTAATCAAACTTATTTGAATTCGAGGTCAAAAATTAAAAAATCAAATGAAGCAATGCTTCCCAAACTTCAGTTTGACGTGGAGATGAAATAACTTTTCCAACTAAAGAAAAAATCTGCTGAATTCGAATATAATCAACAAGTGGAAAAAACAGTAAGAATTATTATCATTAACAACCCTTGATAAAGGCGTTGGCCTTTTATTTCGGAAATTCAACATTTCTTGCAATCGTCGTTTATAAATTCTAGAAGCATTTCGATGAAAAAAATAGTTTCCATTTATTTGAAAAAATTACCATTTTCGAGTTACTAGGTACTTGTTAACCTACATTGCCAAGTACTTCAATAGATTTAAAATAACTCGAACTATTCATTTTAAAAGTTATTACGATTTTCCAACACGATTTTAAATGTAACGTGAGAAGTGTCCAAAAAAAAAATCATGATGTAATTTTGCACCTCTAAAAAATTATGCAACATTCTACACCAACGATTCTTTTATCGGATCTATGTAATCGTACGACTTCCTGCGAAACGAGTAGTCCTACAGTTATTAATTATATTTAGTGAAGGGTGGTGGTAAAATGTAAGTTAAAAATTAACTCCAAATAGTCCGTATTTTCCAAATGAAATGGAAGTTTTTTTTCCTCTTCAAAATACTAAGAACATAAAAACAGCAATCGAGTTTCTAATATACCCAGTGGTGTCGAATTTCTAGGATTTTTAGTGATAGTAACTACCGTTAGAGATGATTATATAAGCCGAATTCAGAAGATTTTAATCTCGAGTTAAATCATTAGTCCACTCTACATTCAAACGTATCACTACAGATTTTTTTTATGACCAATTAAATTCATATTTGGCCAATTAATCCCGATACATCCTATACAAAATGTAGACTTCATTTAAAACAATAAAAATAGCAGTTTGTTGACCACATCTTAAAAATATTGCTATCATAATCTTAAATAAAAATTTAATATTTGTCCACTTTAAAATATTAGAAACAAAATGAAAATATATATTAGTACAACGTTAACAATTTTTCAGTTCAAATCTCAATCTTTCAATAATTTGGAGGAAATATATTGAATTACTTTCTTTATTGTACCAGCAAAATGTGAAATGAAATGAGAGAGAGAAGGTTTTAAGATAGATAAGTTTTTTTCGACTAAAATGGGTTCGATATTACAATGTTTTCTGAAAGCATATTCATGTAAAACATCTTTCAAAAATTTGAAATTTTCTTATGACGAAGAAATAAAAACAGATTACTTACATTTTTGAGACGGGAATGGACGATCCTCTCTGGAGCAACGTAGTAGTGAAGACTAACATAATCGTGAAGTAGAAACTGGTATGGAAATGAGGAATAAGGTAATGGAAAGGATTAATTAGGAAAAGGAATCCTTTAGGAAGAAGTCACAGTGGTCCTTGCTTTAGCAGATCTTCGGTACGCTGTATTCATCCATGTAAAGGGCGACTTCATACATTCCTGGGTAGGTTTCTTCAATGCTACTTTTTTTATCTACTGTTTTTTTTTAATAAAATTACAGGATACCAATGGAATTACAGTGATTTCAAATTGAAAATAAAGAAAATTTTGAAAAAATTGCCCACCTCCACCCAGTCCGATTGTTTTACTGAAAAACGATCGACCTTCTTACTTCAAAGTAACAAACATAACTGTACTGCTTAATACAAGTCACACCTGTTACTTTTTTTAATATATTTTTAAGCTGACTAGATATATGTAAAAAGAAACTTTTTAAACTGTACTATGCGAGATATGATTAAATTTTTTTTCATGATTTCTCAATATATCTCTACGAGAAAATTTTCTTAAACACACAGTGCAAGAGAACTGCTTAGCAACTCCACACTCATACCTTAGATGTCTTTCGAGTGTATATTGCACCGCATAACCTCGCCCACAACGGAAACACTTGAAAGGTGAAGGGTCTGTAAATAAACATTCACACATCATTCAATGCTAAAGGACCAAACACGTCTATTTTGTTATATTCGCATTTCTTAGTTTTTTTTTCAGCATTGCCATTAAAATAAACCAGTAAAGTATAGTTTACAGTAACAACAAAACTGAAGTGAGGTTCCTCTTCAAAAATATTTACCAGGGGCCCACAAAACCAAGGAAGGAAAATATAACTGTCAAAGAAGTGTTGGCCCTCTACTCAAACACAAGCACTACAACCACACATTCAGACCCACCATAGTAGTTCCTGTTTATTCATCGAAGTGCGAAAAACTTTTAAATGTTAAATATGAATATATACCCACCTATGTAATCTTTCTTCGGAGAGGTGAATCATTGCTCATCGATGGTATGAATAAAGTTTAATAGAAACGGTTTACCTCACCATGTAATAAATATTACACAGCTACTGGATGTTGACAACAATATGAAAAAATCACATGTTAACCATATTTCTGAGTAAATATTTATTTTTATTGGGTCCTTCACAGACAAAAGTTATTGTCAAGAATTAGACAATTTTAAAATAATCTGTTCAAATCGAACATTCTGCCAAAATAAATAAATAGCTGGAAAAATATCAATTGTTATATTTTCGCGAGAATCTACTTCCATTTAAAATATGAGCGGCTTTAGATAAAATTTAAAATCAAGCGATTTAAAATTTGTGTTTGCCGATATAAAAAAAGGAAGCAAGACAAAATTCTCCCATATAACAATGACTTTTCCAAGATCTATAGAAATTTATTATACTTGGTCCAATTAATAAAAAATATCTAAAATATATCAAATTAACACCTTTTATAACAGATACTGTAAAATTGCAACAATCGTATCCAGTTTGTAGAAAATGTTTGCCTACATTTAAAGCAACGTACACAATTATTTTATACATACCTACGATACCACTGTAATAATTTAGTTCCGTTAAGAAAAATCGACAATACAAAAGTGGAACGAAATCCACAAACTTCTTGCATGTTGAAAACCAAAAAACTGTTTTTAAACGCCGTACCACAGTGGATTTTCATCATTTCCATGACATTTGTTTTAAGTAGAGTACATAAAGGATGCATCGTCCACTTATCTCCAACTAAAACTAATATCATTGAAACGATGAAAAACTGCTTTACGATTTAAACACTGCACTGTGTGGTAGACGAGACCTTTAACATATATTTTAAAACTTGAAATTGCTGGATGTTTTTAAAACTAACATTTTAGAATTGAAATTAATTATTACGTTACTTTGAAAGTATTAAGCTAATTCAAATTCATCTTAAAAATGTTCCTAAATTTTTTATCAAAGTTATGTCCAAGTATTCAAAAAAACAATTCCATAACCAAGCTAGCAATTATCTACAAATTAAAAATAAAACTATCCATTGTTAACTAATGACAAAACATAACTGTAATACCGAAAGCACTAAATATTTCAAACTTCCATTCAATTTTTAAGCTTCTGAAATAATAATTTCGATAAGACAGCTGTGTATTTTTGTCAGTTATAAAATCTGGATAAAATGAATTTTTTATTTGTGGATAATTATTTAATAGTTTGTCTACATCGTCGTTTATTTAAAATACCTGAACATTCGACATAAAAAAATATTTAACCACATTTGATCAAAATTTAGGAAAAGATAATTGATTTGAATTATTTTGATACTTAAAGTAATGTAAAACTATTTACATACTTACGTACCATTTATCCAAAGATGATTTCAAAAATTAAAAACATGAAGATGAGATCATATTCATGTTCATTTTTACGTTTACCTCGCTACACACAAAAGTATGTAGCTACAAAATATAATTTACCTCACTACATACAAAATAATATGCAGCTACAACATACTACCCATTACTCTGCTCACAAGTTATTATGCACTAGGTAGAGTTCATTGGAGGCATAAAATTAATTTTCAAATTGAAAATTAACTAGCCATTAAATTTGAATGTGAAGCTGAATATTCAATTATGAAAAAAGTGATACCTCACTATGTACAATGAATACACAGCTACATAAACTTTTAGTCACGTCAATTGTGCAAAAAATGTCCTGGAAACTTTTTTTGTTAAATTTTATGCCTATTGTGACAATAAATTTTAATAAAACAAACCCTTGCGCTAAAGGATCAATCAGTGAAGGACTGTTTCAACGGAATTACTTTTGTTAAACTATAAGCTCATTGAAAAAAAGCAACGAGATTTTCAGTTAGGTAAAAATAATTCCATTAAAACAACTCTCAATTAATCCTTTTTGGCACAAGGATTTGATATTTGATAAATTTATTTTCGCAAATAGCAAAATATCTGAAAACATGCCAGAAATAAATAATTTCCGACAGTATATCATTGTAGACAAAAATCTACAAACAGAAACGGCACTGAGGAGTTAAAAAACAGTAATGACAAATCATCATTACAAACAAAAATATTACCTCACTGTACAAAATTATGCACAGCTACAAAAAAATCGCCACTAACAATTTTAGTACGATATGAAAATCTCTACCTGAAAATCTATAAAAATATTTTGAATTTACAAAACTTATTTTTTTAATTTAGATGCCTTTTATTTGTTTTTACTAAAACAGTAAAAACAAAAAATATAACAAATATGACTAACTCCATCCATATTAGTTTTGAATTGACATAAACTGCAAAGTAAATTGCATCAAGTGTTTTAGTATTTTAGTCGTTAGGAGGAAATAAAAATATTTTCTCAAACTCCAAATAACATTTAAAACACTCAGAATACAATAAATTACTTTGTAATTTATGATCAGTTTAAAAAATTTATGTAATGGAATTGGACATTAAAAACTTTACCTCATTCCATGCAAATGCACGGAACTACATAAAATGTTTTTACACGAGCACTTTCACATTACATGAATTCATGTAATGCTTTAAAGTCATCACATGAAAATAGCATGTGATGAGAAAAGTAGCAGCCAACTTCAGTATAACAATTTGCTTATAAATGTTATACAATTAAACTCAACAGTCAGAATCTATTAATAAAACATAATAGATGCTGAAAAGAACAAGAACAGGCAACAAGACTAAAATTAGCCATGTTGCAAAAAAACAACTAATGTACATATATATTTATAAAAGCATGCACATGATAAAAATACATGTTAGACCGAAAAAGTTGAAGATACATGAGATAGAAGGCCAACAATATAAAGATACGACACAGTACAAACGATACTCGACACTTAAGACATGAACAATACCCAAAATAAGACGATTTGAAAAACAATGTTGAATATCGCTTGTCCAGGCCCTAAATTACAAAAACCCAAACAAAAAAAGCACTTGCATTTGTATGGCAAAATTTTTGGAGTGGGGAGTGTTAAAAATAATGTCAAAAATGTAAATTAAAAACTTGTAACAAGCGGGAGAAACTTATTTTTCCAAACACCGAGACCTCACAGTCTCTGATTAAAAAACCAAAATGTTCACCATGTCCAGTTTCAAAGAAAAATTTTATAGTTCTTCCTAAACGAAATTCACGGCAATGTACAAATTGCTTTATGTAAGGTAATAGAACAACTTGCACATTGCGCAAAATAATGTCTCTAGGAAAACATTGTATCGCCTAATTTATTACTATGGGAACATTCTGATTTTAATTCCGTTCTCCCCCTTCTTACCTTTGCAGAAATCATGAGAAACCACTTGTGTTCTTGATTACTAAAAATAAAACTAATTGTTCACTAATAATATATATCAAAATTAGCATTTAACAGTATAAATGCTGCCAATTTCTGTAAGGGATAGCTAGTAGTTACATTTAACAGTATAAATGTAACAAAATGCATTTAACAGTATAAATGCAAAAAAACAGCCAATCTATCAATTCCCAATCTATCCAAATAATCATGACACTATAAAATTTAAATTACAATTGCATATTGGTTAAAACTGTATATAATTGCATATTGGGTTCACACATTAATTATTAATTAAGCCATAACATTTAAGAGCAGTATTATTCGAATTTCCTAAATGACCGCCAGCTAAATTAAACACTAAATGATGTTCTCTGTCGTCAATGGAGGGAGAAGGGTTCAATTTTTTGGATAAACTAAATACCTACAAGCCACTACTACCAAATAAAAAGCAACCAAGTGTATATAAAGCAACATAAGTAAAAATAACCAAAAGCTACCCGAAAATAAAAACAAAATCAGAGACTGGAACTCAGGTGTTAATTTTGCCATACAATTTGCAAGCGTTAAAACTTGTCGACCGACCTGAACCAAAAAAAAAAGGAACTGTTTGAGGAAAAAATATAAAAAAAATAAATAATCAACTTTGGTTCAAATCAACAGACAAGCTTAAATAATTAAAACAAAAATCTTACCTTGTGAATCACGATGTGCACCTACGGCCTCTTGCGCGGCCAAAAATACTTCATCTTGACTTTGATTACCCATATGCCACCCGCCAAAACCTGTAATAGTCCATAGAAACATTGACAAAACCAAACCAATTTGCAATCGAAGAAAAACTCGAGACTTGAATAATTCGTTTTTATTTGCATTCAATTAAGAAAAGGAGCTACTACTGACTTTATTCACAAGCTTTACTTTTAACTATGCATTTCAGAAACATTTATATATTTTTTCTAAACATTTCTCATTTTTCACACACTATTCACGAGTTATTCTAAAAATTATTTACATTAAAATTAACCAATTATTTTTTTTGTTTATTTCAGAAAAAAAATTAAAATTAATTTAACCTTCGCACCAAAACAATCAATTGGGGTAATTTTTCTGAAATCATTAACAAATAATTTCATAAAAACAACCCTCGACTAGTTATTGGCACAAGGGCTGATTTCATTACTTAAATTTTTTTCACTGAACAGACAAAAAAAATGTGTATCATTGAAAACTACCAATATTTCAAAATCAAATCCGACAGAAAAGTCAAAGTAAAACTTTTCAAGTTTGTCTTTTGAAAATTGGACTCATTTCTACATTTCAGTAAAAATAAATCAAAGTAGAATTTATTTCACATGAAATATAGAAAATAAATTTAACAATTTCAAGTTTACAATGATCATTTTAATTTTGAAAACTAATGAGAACGAGAAACATTTTTTATAAATCCCTTAATGTAATATAATGAAAAATTTAATTAGCATATTAAATTTATACAAACTGCAAAAAATGAGAAATAATTCAAGTTATGAAAATCTTATGAACTTTTAAAATAAATTAGCCTCTACTTTGTCCTAATATAACATTGAACGTCAATTTTTAATTTTAATATTTAACTTCTTTAGATAATGTTGCAAACTAGTTCTTTTAATCTGGTAATCAAAAGATGCCTGTGTTACGGTAACGCCCCTATTTAAAATTGCGTCTAAAGCGGCGCTCACAGATTTTCTCGAATACTTTCTAAATCGACCCCGTAACTGATCCGACAGAGGCTGTATGTCGAACTCGGGCTTCCCAAATAATTGGCTATTGCTATAAGGTGGATATGGGGAGTTGTAGGTGAACTCATCTAAAAATAACCAACAACTCCTCTTAAATTCCACCAAACAGCTGCCTAGTTAACCCCGAGGAATTCCAATTTTTCTGCAAGACTTTCACAAATAAACGTAAAATATTGTGCTCAAAACAAAAATGTTTCGGAAATTTAAAAATTGCATTAATAAAGATTCCTTCTTTCACAACCCAACAAAAAAAATGTAAAAACTGCAAAGATGTATTTTGTGTATACAGATAGAATAAAAAGATAATCCGCCCTTAGCGAAATACAAAATGTGATACTAAAATAGTCACATACGCATTTATGTAAATTAAAGAAATAAATTTCTATTCCAATCCAAAGTAGAGATCAGATAAAGAAATTATTTTCTAAATAGCACAATGCGATGAGACTTCAGTTGCAAATATTTCACTAAAAGCAATTAAATGAATATTTTAAATTTGATCGGCAGCACTATAAACGTGTATTGTTAAGTTCCTAAGTAGAGAACTTCACAATTAAGAAATGTTTATACTGCCATCAAATAAAATATTTTGGCATCTCAAAAGACTGTCCAAATCTGAAAAGAATTTCCTTCCGCAGTTCTATTTTTAATAGTTAATTTAAATTTTTTGACGTAATTGAAGATATGTTTATAAATTTATTTTACATACATTAGTAAAACTGAATGTGATACGTTGTTAATACATAAAATAAATTTGTAAAAATATAAATAAAATTATGAATCAAAAAATTTTAAAGAAATCTGGTAGGAAAATAATTTACAGAAAACCCTTAAAAGGCTCTGGCGCAGATTCGAGGAAAGCCCATTAGTTTGCTTTCAGTGTTAATATTACAAATTTAACTTTAAATATTTATTTGAACAAAAAATAGAATGGACTTAAAATACAGGGTGATTCAAAATTCAGTACAAAGAATTTATGGCATATTTTTGAGGTCAAAATATATTTTTATCCTATAAACGTGGGTCCACAAATGCTTCGTTTTCGATATACACGGTGTTAAAGTTTCTTATTATAAAGATTTTTTAGAAATAATTTCCACACGGATTTGAATGTCGTCAGAAAACGGGATAAAAGGGTTCTTTAGGATAAATTTAAATGTCATTGGTTTCGATACTGCTTGTAGAGGGTGCCACATATAAGGGTAGGCTTCAATTTGGAACTAACTTTTTTGCTACCCTGCACAATATTTCGTATTAATGCATACATTCCCCAATCAATTTAAAGCAAAAAAGGTATACTTGGTCGGAATCTCTAAGACCAATCGTTTCCGAGATATTGGCTGATGAAGAGTACACCATATTTTCAAATTTTAGTGACTAATGTGAAAAATTTTTAAATTTATTTGTATCATCTAATCAGTAATGCACTGATCTTGAATAATTTTAGTTCTTTACATTTTTTTCATACAACCATTTTGGAGAAAATGACTGCCGACTAGTAACAATACTACCGTTTAGTCACCAGTTATTTTCTCGAAGAAGTAGTTGTATGAAAAAAATATAGTTAAAATTCAAGATCACTGTGCATTGATATGATGGTGAAAATAAATTTTAAAATTTCTCAACAAAAATAGTTAAAATTTAAAACTATGGTGTACATTTAACTGTTCACTGAGCCAATATCTCGGAAAGGCTTAGTCAGAGGGATTTCGACCAAATATACCTTTATTGCCTAAAATTGATAGAGGAATGAACGCAAATACCAAACATCAATGTCAATGTCAGGATAGTAAAAAAAAATTAGGACCAATTTAATCAAGCGTACCCTTATAGGTGGCGCCCTCTACGAGCAGCGTCAAAAGCAATTGCATATTTAAATTTATGCATCCTAAAAACACCGTACCTCAGGTTTTATGCTAACATTCAAATCTGTTGGGAAATTATTTGTAAGAAATCGAACAAAAAAACTAAACATTCTGTATATCGAAAACTAAGCATTTGTGGACCCGCATTTATAGGAAAAAAAAATTTCACTTCGACCTCAAAAAATACGCCCTTAAATTATTTGCACTGAATTTTGAATCAGACTATAACCAAAATGAAATTATGCACAATATTTTAATGAAATTTATATACTAAATATATCTTGCAGTTTTCAAATACCGTACACGTTTTTTTGTTTTAACTCTCATTTTGTGAAAATAAGAATAAATAACAACCTGGAATGGGTACTCGTTCTAGAAAAAATGTTACAAACCAATGTTAAATTTTTACAAAAATTCAAAAACTAGTAGCATCTCAAAAAAAAAATAGGTGTAACCAAAAAATTATGTTAACAACTGCAAGAAATAGTATTGTAAATAAAATTTCATACAGTTATATGGCTTAGAAACATTTACAATTCTCATAATTATTGCAAGAACCAAGTAACTAATTAAAATCCATCGATTTCAAAAAGGGACTTCCAGGAAGGCAAGTCGTAAAAATGTCACAGCATTGTACCATTCCGTTATTAAATCGTGTAGCTACAATTAATTCTGAAATCCTGCTCGAAATTCAACGTTAGAAACGACACCAATCTTCGTGTATTTTTTAGGTGGCGTTTCAATTCCAAAAAAAATCCAGAATTCAAAAGTTAAAATACACAAGTAGAATTTCAAAGTTTACAGTAACTCTACAATACATTAATAATTTAATAAATGAACCGAAAAATGCAGTAAAATTTTACGACTCCGCAGTTACTAAAAGTTCCAGTCTGAAATCAACAAAATTTAATTTATCAACTGCTAACTGAATTCCGGCAGAATTAAGAGAATCGGCGTCAAAAGCTAAATAACTGCTAGAAAAAAAAATACATTACCACACCTTAGTAACACTAGATTTTTCAAAATTTCAGATAACTAGCAATTTTTAAATTTTTCGAAACATTTTAACACCCTGTATACATTAAGGAAATTTTTAAACTAAGAACAAGAAAGAATTTTGTAACGATAACTTTGCAATTAAAAAAATGTTCCCTCTTCGGGAAAGTATTAAAACAATTTTGGAATTTCATTTAAAAAGTAGAAAGTTTCGTCAGCGGTATGGAATTCCCCGAGTTGAAAAGTAGAAAAATGTGTATATTACCTTGACTGGATCCTTCACCCGCGTTGCCATGACTAGGCCCTGCTTGATCTTCTAATTGTTCCATATTACTAAGGTCATCATCATCTAACGTCAAATCCTCAATACTGTCCTCGTTCATTTCCTCTACATATTCAGACTTTGGTTCAAGCATCAGTTCTGTATGGGTTTCTATTTTCTCTTTTATTATAGGAACTTGGGGAATATCGTCAGGTTGTTTATGCCTTAATATATCGGATTTGGTTTCTACGGGTTCAGGCACATCGGCATTAATTTTGGATGCGGCAGGTAACGACGAAGGAATGTTTTGGGCGGGTAGGCTGTGAGATTCTGATGAGTTTGAGGCGTCATGGTTGTCTAGTTCCTCACTCTTTCGCCTTAACCTTTTTTTCTTCCGCGGCCCCGGCGACAAACTCCCTTCCCTGCTGTCGTCCCTACTGCGTTGTTCTATCGTTAGACCTTGTACTTTAGGTAATGCCGACGTTTGTTGAGGACTCTTGGGCGGTGGCGGGACAGGTGCCGTTTTCCTTTCCGGTTCACCTTTTCTATTGTCCGACAGTCCCTTGATTTGTAAGGACTCTGCCGCTTTCAAAAGTGCACCTAATTGGTCTTGTGATATGTTCACTTCACCTCTGTACATATAGTCCATCATCGCTTTCAGTTCTTGGAATTTTACATCCTTTAGAATGAGGATTGGGTGCTTGTCAAAGTGTCGTGACAGCAGCGCCTGTAAGACCAATGAAGTGTCAGGGTATCTTACGAACAATTAACCGCCAAAAATTAAAAAAAAATGAAATCGGCAGTTTGAAGGAACTTCAACCAAATATATTCTATGAACAGTATCACAGAGTTTAATTTCAAATTATTCAGAATAAAAACTCAATCTATGGACAGTACCATCGATTCGTTATAACCATATTTTAAACAAACTGTGAGCAGTATCACCAGTACAAAATTAAACCTATGAAAGACTTGGGCACAATCAAATAGAAGCCGAGCAGACGTTCCTAATTTTATTTATTAAGCTTAAGTCAATAACCATAAAATGTTAAAAATTGAGAATTATAAGGTTTTCAAATCTATGAACAGTATCACAGACTCCAATTTTTGATTAAAGTAAAAAAATACAGCTGTATATCTGTGGGCAGTACCACAAACGACCAATCACAATCAACAATTGTGACATGAATAAAAAGTTGTGCAGTACGATATTTGTCACAGAAACCAGAACACCAAACTTCTATAAAATTTACACGAGTACTTATACATTTCAAGTTACATATTAACAAACACTATAGCCAGTACCATAGTTCTCTTTTCAACAAACAAAAAATAAATCAGTAAGTGTTATAGCGGAAATAATCTCTCAAATTAAATACTTCTCACCATGTGGTAACTATTATAGAACACAAACAAATAAAACAAAAATTTATTTAAATCGGAACTGAACTCACCTCAAAATATGGACTGCAAGCAGATAAAACTACTTTGTGTGCGTTTAGGCATTTTCCTTCTGCTGCCAGTGTGCAGTCTACTAGAGTTCCGTTTTCTAATAATGTGTCAAAAACCGCTACTAATGTTGACTGGTGGTTATTCCATCGTAAACAGAACTGCTGGTCGTCATCCATTTTTAACTGTAAATTAAAAATAAAATAATGAACACGCCACAGAAATTACCATTACTCTATTGTAATCAAAGCTCGTTAAAGACAAGGACACCAAGAAAAATGTAAATACGGAAGCTAAATCAGTTAATAAAATTTTCAATTGATGCAATGGCTTGCCTTCGCCTCCGTTTTACAATTTAATCACGTCACGCAAGCGTCGTTAAGCTCAAAGGAAACACGTCATCAGTGGAGGGGCAAGGGAAAGCGTATCCACTGCTTCGGGTACCAACAATGGCCGCTTTTCCGAACCAACATGGAAAAATGGCGAGGCGTCTCTCACAAATATTCAAAAAAGCGTTACTGAATTACATAAATATTCTCGAAAATAGCACCGTAACAATGTATTCATGAAAATACAACGGTTTATTTACATAAAAGCTTCCGGGAAACAAGCAACTACGAAAAAGCTCGACGTGTCAAGAAAGCTTCCCTGCCCAAAGTACCGTACAACGTACAAGTCGAAACTTCGACAATTATCATCCGATCGCGGCGATTTTATTGTCAGCAATTAAGAAACAATAGTAATTACCTATTTTGGCACACTATAACTAAATATCACAATATTTTTCACTTGAAATATAACTTTTCAGGAGACGACGAAAAACAGTGTTAAGTCTTCTTAGGGCGGCTTTAAACTAAAAGCGACCGGTTTCATCGATGAGATTTTGCAGCCGGAGGAATACCCGGTGTACGACAAACGAAACTCAAGTGACGTCACGCGAACGCTCAGTGGTGCTCTGCGCAGCAACGCCATCAGAACTACCAATAGTATCCAAAGCTTTCGCTGCTAACTGGACTACGGGACAAGCTTCACGAAACCGTTGCGTTTATTCGGATCCGACTATTCCTCTCAGCGACGTAGAAGTGGATGGAAGAGAGAGAGGACGGTGAAAACTTGAAAGAGAGAGCGTAGAGATGAGAGGAGAGAAACGAATTTGATCCACAACAAAATAGTGAGCCTGTCTCTTCTAATCGTACAGTCCGTTTTCCACTGCGGTCTTGTCTTTTATCGCGAATTGATCCGTGTTGTTTGTTTTGCATGTTTATTTGTGTCATCTGGGTATTTACGGCTAAACAGGTAAGAGTCCTGTCAATGCCTGAAACTCTCAATTTTTTACCTATTCTGTCATTTCTTTCCGGAAATAGATTGCCCTAGTTTTTAAGATGCTTTTTGCTTTCTCTTTTATAAGCTGTCATCTGCACACCAATTTATTCCATAAAACCGACTGTATGCAAAGACACCCAAAATTAGGTACACAAACCGTGTTTTTCAGGCTCTAAAACTGTACGGTTTAAATAAATACACTTTGGCGCCGACCTTCCCCACGCAATTCTACGCATGCATGCGTCTCTCGAGTATGCGTAATCGGCACATTATTATTCTCTTCGTCCAAAACAAATCCCAGCGCAATGTTATGCCGGCAATATACGATGTAAACTAAACACCACTCCGTTCTATAAATAAATCAGTAATACGTTACCAAATGTGTTAAATAACAGATTCATATCTAATCTTTTTAGTATCCTAACCAAAAGTAGACGCCTAATGACAGATAAATTTTTATTTATCTTTTGCGTACTCCTATACTTATTTATCTCTTTATATTCAGTTTCGCAAAAAATTCTCAGCGGATAACTTCGTACATATACATAAATTTAAGATGTTTGGTTCATTTATCTTTATACATACCTGAATTTCTTATGGTAAGATACAGGGTGTTAGCATAAGAACCGACACAGAGCAAGAGCATGTAGGGTAAACCCAAAATATGGGGATTTAACGTAACTTACCTTTATACTAAGCTACACCTATAACTTCTCACAAGTTATAGGCCTTCAAAGTGGGGTTTCAAATTTCGAAAGAAATCAAAATCTCAGAAAAAACACATTTTATACACGGTGCGAGTGTAGCAAGAGCATTAATTAATTAACTAAAGTAGAGTTCAATGTTCAATTGAGGCATTTTAAAGCCCCCCGCACGACCCGCCACTGCATTTTTGGCATAATAACTATGTGATTCCAGTTTAACTTCAAATTGAGATGGTGTAGTTATGTACAGAAATTTTCAGATATTTAATTAATTTATTTTTGTATCTATAGGCAGTTACAAATAATTGTACTGGTACGAGAGATGTTTACTGAGAGTCATTCGAAATAAACCTGATTTCGTGACAGGAAAGCCAAACATAGGTTTTCCGTTGCTGTATCATGTGGTAAATTGATTTTAAATTTGCTCCAGCTGATGTCTGTTATACATTATTTTAACGTCTACAAAACGCGATGGTATAAATAAATGTAAAAGCTCAATAAACATAAAAGAAATTAATCGATAAGTAAGAAATTGTTTCCGCGAGTGTATAATAAATTAAGAGATTAAAACGAGGTTTTTTAACCGTCTGACAATTAAACTGTACCTGTCTGTATGCTAATGCGTCTTTTCTAGCTGCCCGGGTAATTATTCTCAGCTTAGAAATTAAATTTTTGCCTCGACTTGTGTTTACGTTGCGTTTTGAATAATACTCGAAGCTTTAAAATTCTACTTAAATATTTACTTTGGAATACATAAATTTAATGAGATTTAATGCACACGGAAAACGTTTATAGGTTTCTCTGGGTATTACGTCTTTCTAAATCTTATAGGAATAGGATATACATATTTGGTAATTTAGTACCATAATAGATTGTGGAAAGAGTTGTAATAGGGGGTAATAATCACAACTAGGCTAATTTGTCCCTAAAATAAAACCCGTTGTAGAATTAGTGATGTTATAAACGCAGTTCATGAAAATTTGAGACTGTAGAAGATATACCTAAAATGCGTTAATTATTTTTTGTAGGACGATAACTTGATAAAACATATTTACTTATCTGATGAAATTATATGTGTTCATTTTATCGTTTTAGGTATTTCAGAAAGTATGACAATTTAATTTTCTAAACACTTTTCTCCCTTTCTGCCTATGCAAAAAAATATCATCCTGTTCTACGAACATTATTCGGCTGAGAAAATGCCTTTGAAAAATTACGTTTAGTTTTTTTTTCTACGTTGAAAATTGCATTTTTAATTAATGTTAAAGTAGTATAATAGAACAAGGGCTTAATGAATATTGTAATCTTTTTAATTAACGTTAATAATTAAAATATTTCTTAAGTAACAGACTAGTAGATATGTGATTCTTTCTCAGAATATAGATGTACATATCTGTGTAATCTTAGTTGTTTAGATATGATGAAATCGGCTGAGAAAATATATTATTATCTTCAGGAATATATACCTACCTTCATATAATATTAATATGCATCTATAGCAATACACAGTCTTTTTATAAATTAAAATTATCCTCTGTTTAATTTGATTATTTCGTATTTAACACAAGTTGCATTCGTGTAAATATCTTGTATGGAATCTCTTAGTCGTCACTTTTTATTACGAACAAAAAAATTTTTAGAAAAAAATTTTATATTTTATCCAGTATTCAACTTTATCAGTTCTGATGGTACAAAATTTGAATATCAGCACTGGATTATCTAGAAAATTCCATACCCGCCCTCTCGAAAAGAGGTTTGCCCACCCTTGTTTTCCATCAGGATATTTTGGGAGATAATAACCATCTTTCTACCTGCTTAAGGGTTTTCGAATAATAGGTTTCAGGAAACTGGCTATATACATAGTACCTATAGGTACATCAAATTTTCTACTGCAATTAATTACTTTTAGATAAACATGATGTTTTATAATAAGTGCGAAAAACTTCAGCAGACAGTTTCTCAGATTAGGGTATTGAAATTAGTTTTATCTCTTCTTGATCTCAATAACGGTTTGAATTTTTTAATTCAACTTTTGACGTACCTACTAAATATTCACCACATTATATTAAGAAAAGTGCATACACCAGTTATAATTTTATTTAAATATTTTTTTGTCGTGTGCAAAAAATGGATCATATTTCCTGCAATCTACTTTAAAAAGAAAACACGATTTTATTAATACTAAGTTACGACTTGACAATAAAAATAATTTTGTGCAACAAATCTTGGCATATGTTCAGTCAAATTAAGACATTTTGAAGTCCAGCAGCTTTGTAGTGGCTATAGTTTTTCGTGAAAGAAGAGATGATCCGTCTATTGATATGATAACTTTTCGAACCCTATTCAAAATTACAAAGCTTTCTTTTAATTTGATCTGAATAGTTTCATTATGAAAAATCCAGCGTAACAAACACAATTTTGGGATAATCGCGAACCTAGATAATCTTGGAAGAAATTATTTATAACTGTCTGACTAACCGAATCTACTTAAATACCTACCTTGGTATTTTATTATTTACAATTAACCTCATATGTCTCAAAGTAACTATCTCTCACTGCAAAATTGGGATAATTTATTTCCGAATTTGTCGCCTTCTTTATAGCATTTATTTGGTAGTTATTTCTAAAACTTTTTCAGTTTTCGTTCTTAAAAGCTTTAAACACCTCGTCAAAATTTTGCATTTTCTTTTCCTTGTCTATATCTCAATATGGCAAAACGGAATAAAAAACTGTTATATTTGACTGGAAGTATAATTCAGTTATTTTGATTCTAGAAACAGATGCAGCCCAGTATCTTTCAGGTTGAACACCTCCTGCTTTTGTTAGAAGGAGACAACCTTATGGAATAACTGGAAACGCTATCGTTTCTTATTTCGTTCTCGTTCGAGGAGCCCTAGCGGGTTTTTATTTTTCCTTCATTCGCCCCCTATCGATTTTAGACCTTTTTCCGTCGTTCCTTGTGCAAGGCACAAGGCAAGACGTTTTATGGCAGTCAGCGTGCAGGACCGTTCGGGTTCAGCAGTTTTGAAACAATTAACACCACATCTAAAGCCCCGTCCAGGCAAGAGCGATGTAATGTGAATATAATCACCAAATGTAACCTAATAAATGTTTGGACCAGTGAAAACCGTCTAAATGCAGATTATTTCTGAATTTTTGTACATCTTAAGGAAACTGTCACTGTCACTGTAATATAATTATGTAGGTATTTAAAAACTACATGGTATTTGTAAATAAGTGCGAAATATTTTAGGGCAGGGGTCGGCAAGTAATTTTAGGTGGGGTCCGGATACTTTTGAAAATTTTTAACGAGGTCCAGAAAAAAATTCATATTTCTTATTTTTTTATTTTAATTTGGACTCAATTTAATCTGCTTATTAATTAAGAACTCAAAACACTCACACAATTATAAAATACTAGAAAAAATTATAAGATTGGCACTTAAACGTAAAAAAACATTTTTGAAATAATTTATTTGAATAATTTATACTTTCAAAACATTTTTGGCGGTCCAGTATTTTACCTTCCGCGGTCCGGACCTGGACCGCGGTTCGCCAGTTGCCGACCCTTGTTTTAGGGGGTGGTTGCTCAAGTTATTTTGTGAAAAAAAGCATATAAACGCAGGTTGAAGTATGCTTCGATTCCGAGTTACAGTGAATTATTTGAGACTTAAAAAGATATTAATTCGAAATTTGAAAAACGCTTGGAGGGGCAAATGTGCATTTTTTGGCGTGATCCGAATATTTCTACTTGTACCAGTGCCAGTGACGTTTGTGCGAGAATGCCACATTTTTTAATTAAAAAAATAACCGAAAATATCCGGAAAAGACAAACAAAAAGTCGTCTAAATAAACTTACACGTATTCAAAATTTTCTTGAATTTCAATCAGATATTCTTAAAAATTATTTCCAGAGCAATGAGAATATTATTTTCGCTAATTTTTGTTTTTAAAACCGTGTTGTGGCATTTATTACTGTTTTATAAATATTTAAATATAACTACTGACATTGCACAAATTAATATATAATTTTTATTGAATTGAAAGCGTTTTTTAATGAAAATTTTATATTTTTAAATTCTACCAAATTTTGAGTATAGGTTTTCGAATAAATTTTGTTATTAAAACTTTCTTATGCAAAATATAAGTTTTCCATTTTTTCTATCTCCCTATTTTAGTGTCTCAGGTATTTGAGAATGGTTGAATCTTTGCTCGTAAGTTAAAGTCAATGAGTTCTATTTCAAAAAATTTAATTAGGTCGAATATTCCATTTAAGAACCATCAGTTTTGAAAATGGGACTATAGATACTTACCATGTCATTGAAATAGATTCTAATTTTTTAAATATACTTGTTACTGACACTTTATCATTCTCCATTTGCTTAACATTATTTTTTAACAACGAAAGCAGAATTTGGAGACGTAAACAAAGTACTTATAACGTCAATACACGTCATGATATCAGCTGTCTCATTACTGGATTACTCAAATCTTGGATGATAAATGTCGAATGATAAGTTGTACGCATTTTAAATCCAAATACTAGTTGACACGTTTCGCTGTTAAACAATTTATCGAGGAGAAAGAGATGTAGAGAAAATTCGAGAAATGGAATCTTCTACGAGAATTTTCCTGAGACGTCTCTGTCGCCAGGCTTTTACGCATCACAGTTTTCAACGGTTTTCTTTGTGCCTGCCTTCTTCCGTCTCTCTCGGCTCTCACAAGCCTGTTTCAACCGGTATCCAGCAGGCTACAGCCAGTTGGCTAGCTCAACATAAACCATGCCTCATTCCGGGTACCTACCTTGCTGCTGGCTTGGCGTCTTCCAAAAAAGAGACATACATACTGCGTGCGCTATCTCCATACCAAATTTTTACGACATACATATTAACAACGGAAACTGTAAAATATTTTCAGTCGCACTTGTTCAGGGTGTTTCGGAAATCAGTGGTCGTACATACAACAACCACATTTGTCAAGTGAAAACAAATGAATTTAGGTTAAAAAATGCTTCGTTTAAAGTTACTAGGTCCCAATTCCCAACCCAAGGCACATTCTTTGTTTTATAACTTACTTCTAAACAATATGTGCAACTCAAAAATTAAGCCCATTTAATTGCAAAAATAATGGATTTATTTTGGAATTCAGTACAACAGACAGAAAAAATACTACTTAATGGAAATTAATTCTTACATGTTATAAAAATAACACAATCTGTTTGTAATAGCTGTCAATACAGGTTTTATAACAAATTCGACAACTTTTTGTACTCGTTGTAACTTAAAGTTTGTGGGGTGGATAATATCGATAAAAAGAAGAACATTTCACATTAAAATTATGACGTCCAACACCTTGACATGAGTTCATCCGTAAGATCACCATGTCCACCAAACACTCATACTTGTAATTATTATTCTTTATAAATATAATCGTACTAGTTTTCTTTATCTGTACTTCTATAGCAGTTTTTTGTTTGTTTTCATATCGAGATTACCATTTTTCTTAACCATCATAATATTCTCATATTTTATTTTCTTTTGGCGTCCTTTTATCTGTCGTAGAAGGATAGCAAAGGCCATCCCAATCGATTTTGCTTAAGGCAACTTAGTAATATAAAATTACCAGTATTTGGTCGAAAATAATAAGAGCGATACTAACAGGAATTAACACTCTTTTAAGAGTTCATATCCACTAGAATGTCAGGTAAATGGTAAATATCATATTTTACTTCACTTTTAAGGAGATATTAAACATTTTTTAATAAAAAGTGTTACTTTTATTTTAAATCACTGTGTTTAGTTTGTGCACATCAGTACCAATGACCTCTGACATTGGCCTAGTTTCGGTGAACAACATAATAACATTACACTTGATGTGATATGACAACAAAACGCTGGGCGGGCAATTTACGCCTACAATCATTTAAAAATTTCCATTATTTTTAGTATAAATACCTAATACAAAAATGTTTCCTAGTTATTCAAAGGCGTGGAGAAATATTAAGGACAAAACAATGTTTCTATATTAATCTCGAAACGTTGATAGTATTTCGAGAGAAATATCAACATGGATCGATTTGATGGCTAAGGCACTGAAAGTTACTAACTGAATAGCTGGCGTCTTTTATATCCCCTCGGGAGGGGGACAGACCTGGCATACAAACACAGGGAGGTAGAATGTTCTTTCAACCATAATTCAAACACAAAACGTGCATCTGTCCATGAACCAACCCTAAAGGAAACTCCCGGCCTTCGTTTTCAGACACCCCTCATAACACGTATTTCCTTTCGTTATCGATAGTTTTGGGTTCTAGGAACCCTCACCCTCCTATGATTGCTGATTATCATTCCGTTCCAAGTACGATGGTTGGGGTAGCTGGGGTACGAGAGTGAAATATTATATTGATTAAATTATTAACCAAAGCGCTTGTGCTTGGAGTTTTGTTATTCGTGTATAACATCGATAATACAGTAAATATTATATTTAAGGATCTGGAAAAACAATAAATTGAATATATCTGGAAATATTAAAGTTGCTGTTATTTTTTTAAATTCTTTCATATATCTCAATTCATAAACATGTCAAAAGGTTAAGGAACCAAAAGATTTGCTAACTTTTTGTAGACGAGTATTTGTAACTTTGCAATAATTTCGGAACATCGGCAAATTATGAAATCAATTACATCTGGCTTTGCTGACCCTGTTGTATTGTTGCAGGGAGGATGTCTGGGCAGCATTACTGTCTGCGATGGAACAATTATCAGAGCAATATGACCTCGGTTTTCCACCAGCTTCTCCAGAATGAAGCTTTCGTAGATGTTACTTTAGCCTGTAATGACTTATCACTAAAAGCCCACAAGGTAAGATTTTGTGAAAACGTTCATGGAAAAAAATGTGTGCCATTTTTTTATTGCCTATTAGAAAAGTTTTGTTTTGACGAAACAATTATTAAATGATGTTTTGCTGTAAACAGAAATAATAGAGCTCATGAGTCAGAATAATAACTTTTACGACTTTGTGTATATAAAAGTATTATTTGCTTCTCCTTGCTATGTTAATTATTACTATTACTATTATTATTTACTGCTCTTTATATATCTGAAATCTACAAACCACTAAAGTTATTTTTGGTCCATATTCGTTGAAATTATAATTTAATTTTGATGTATATACAAAGCTAACATTCCTAGCTTTTTAAGAAAAAAATCACCCTAACTTTTCCATATTGAAATAAATGAATACATAATCGACTGTTCAACACACATAACGTACGTGTAGGCAATTCGCAGTTGCGTTTATTACATATCCTGGTGGGGTAAATGGTCAATACAGCCCCTATAACTCCTGTCGTGGAAAGTACCTGGGGATTATGCATGTGCGCGCATTTCCAACAAACTTTTCGCTTCGTTTACTGTCAACGTTAAATAATAAATGACTGTGACACAATTTGGTCAATACCTTTTTACTTTTCTGAGAAATATCAGTTTCGTTCTGGGCTTCCCTGTTATGGATATTGGCAAATTACAATGGTTCTTATTAGATGCAATGTTCCACATTTAATGGTAGCTTTGTGTCAGTTTTCGCCAGAAGTAATTGGAGAAAATCGTACATCACGACAAAAGGTTAAAAATCAGTCACCAAAGAAGAAACTAATTGGGTCTGATGAACAAAAAGTGTAAATTTTAATTTGATTATTAAACATTTGTCTCAGTCGTGCCTGTCTAGAAAACTACTCTGAAGATCTGAAATTTAACAATAATATGAGATATTGTTATCTTCAAAAACTAACACATCTTATCTACTAAAAGAGTTTCAATACCTACATTGTAATTACCTAATCGCTTTGATTTTAGAAGTGTTTACGGAAAAATCAAAATACTCGTAAGAAATTAGTTAAGGGTAAATGCCTATACAGGGTGTCTCATAATTAGCTGCCAACCCTGAACAAGCCGATTCTATGATCAAAACTAAGTAAAAAAGTTCATATGAACATGGCCCTTAGTAAGCATTTCCGGACCCATGTTCATATGAACTTTTTACTTAGTTTTGATCATAGAATCGGCCTGTTCAGGGTTGGCAGCTAATTATGAGACACCCTGTATAATGGCATATATGGTGAACTTATTCCTCAATCTTACAAGATAAATTTATTATATTATATTAAATAAATTATATAAGTCGTTTATTTATTTACTGAATTAAATGAAATATTTGTTATGCATTCAAATTTAATAATTTTAATTATGTTACTTTAAACATAAATATTATGCTGCTAATTTACATCAATTTTAAAACATAGAATAAAGTGTTAATACTAACAGTAAGTACCTAAAGAAGAAACTTTTGAAAGAAATTGTTTCGATTTCATATTAATGACCAAATTTGAAATAAAAATGTAGTACTGTTTTGGCAATTCTAGCTTTTATCCGTATACATTCTAAACATACACTGCAATCTCTTTTGTAATACGTTACATTCTAGATAAATACGTAACATTTGAACTCATCAACTTCCTTAATTATATTACATCTTTCATACAGTTATTTATGATAATATAAACGATGCTATCAGTACTGGGATCTTAATATATAATATTTGCACAATAAACATGAGATATTGTTGGTTATCAGTCGTACCATACAGAAGCTGTGGACTATATGAGTACCCAACGATATTATTTTAATTCTCTTCTGAATTAGAATTTACTTAATAAAATTTTTAAAGACCAAAACCTCAAGAATTTCCCTAAGGACCATTTTGAAATACCGATAACCTACAAGACCGATATGAATTCGCTGCAAATTAAAGGAAGAATCATTAAATGTAATAAATGTAGCTGCGTTTTGTCTTTGATATTATTTGCGAAATAAAAATCAATAAAGCCCATAAATACACTATTAAAAGATAAATTATGGAATTATTGTACGAGTATAAGTAGAATTTATATTTTAAAATAATATCTAGCCGGGTAGGAACTTGGGGAAAATCGTTAAAAATTCAATTCTAACAAAGCACAAGTATTTGAAATGATAGAATGAACAGCATAGTCAAATATATTATACAGTGTCTGAACTACGAACTATGTGAAACGAATTTACTCTCGTTTTCCTAGAATAAATCACTTGATGGTCATAGACACTTTTCTTAAATTGGCACAGCATTTAGAAATTATTTAAATTCTAACACATTTTTATTATTTCTTAGAATAACCATAGAATTGCTCCAATCGACCAAAGATAATTTTGATTTTTAAGTCTTGAATTAACGACGCTAATAAACATGGTGATAAAACGAGTTTTAAAGAACCATACACCTCATCTCCAAGACAATATAGGAAAATTGTCAGTCTAAAATTTGTGCGGATGCCTATCAATCGTCTGAAAACTAAAAACGTGTGTAAAATATGTGTTCTACGTAAATATTTTGACTTTCAAATTAACAAGTCTCGCTCAACCTCAAGCGGTTAAATATTTGAGTATTGTTTTCGGGGACACGACCCATCAGTAAATAATAGAACATGAAAAAACATACGTACTAACCTAAAGTACAGGTAATTGAAATTTACCTGTTGGCTTTAATGGCATCTTAGGCGTTTAAGAGATGTATGAATTATATCAGATGTACTTCCTATCATATTACGATTGCGATCCTTTCTAGATAATCCACGGTTTATATAACGGCACTACCTGTAATAAACTTTTACTGTGTTCAGTGTATTTTTGCGTTGTTTAGAAAATCTATATTGCACTTTCATTTTATCACCGAGTATAATGGTAATAAATAACAATAATATTAAGAAGGTTATTAGGTATCTCTTTGTTGTTTCATCAGTTCAAAAAGTACGAAGAAAATCAGTTTCAACTACCACATGTTTTTCTGATTTTGTTATTATTTAAATTTAAATATATATATCATACACTTCATATAGATGTAGCAAGAGGTGTAAAGGACTAATTTTTTTTTAATTATAAAATGGTATTCGGGGATTGATTGTTGAAAACGAAAGGTACTACCCATTTTTTTAAGAAATGAATGAATTTTTGCTTTATTGCAAAAGTGTCATACTAATTAAAAGAAATTCAATAGTTTTTTCTAAAAATGTTTCTTAATTGTCATTACGGGAAACAATTATTTTAGAAAACCTAAACAAATTCGCCACTTCTTGAATGAATCTACTTGTTCTATCATTGTCTTGCTAAAAGGACAATTTCTTGTCTATAACTTATTTTATTCTCAGAATATGGAGGTGTAAAATTCTGTCCCCAAACACCACTTTAAAATTCAAAACTATTTTTGTTCATTACATCTTCTGTACTATCAGATCCCCAATACTTTTCGTGAAGAGATAAAGCCCATATTTTCTAGAATAAACAAGCGAAGACTCAGAACAATGACTCTCCCTTTTTCCAGGTAGTCTTATCAGCATGTTCCTCATATTTCCAGAAACTGTTGTTAGAGAATCCCTGCAAGCACCCAACGATAATAATGCCTCAAGACGTCTGCTACTCCGACCTCAAATTCATCATCGAGTTCGTTTACAAAGGGGAAATTGATGTCTCTCAGGCCGAGCTCCAGGTAAGTTAGCAGGTATAAAAAATGCATTTTCTTAGCTTTATTGACAGTGACGTAGGGATCGGGTTGTCAGCACATTTCAGGATCGGAATTTCTACAACACTGCACATATTAAGGTGATAGCGGTAGAACTTTCGATCCGTCGTGGAAAATAAGAAAATACAAATTATTTACAAACCTGAAGAGCGTTAACAATAAGAATAGTTGAGTCTGCAAAACAGCTCTTAAAATTAATAACAATCGACATTGTTAAAACATATTGAGAACCTCTGGGATTGTCCCCGACTTACATACCGCATGAAAAGAGATTAATTGTTGTATCCTTTTGTCCCTATTTTTTGTTCCGTTTTAAAATTCTTCTATTAATAAGCGCACATTTTTAAATAAATAAAATTAGCCAAGCCGAAAATATTTTACATTTACATTTTATAAGGCTTAGAATATTTTAAATGTAGACGCTGATTAACATAATTTACAAGACTTTGTTAACTCAAATAAGCAATTTAGTTTCTTGTGTAGTAGTATATTGTATTTGTAATAATCTAATGCAAATTTTATACCAATAATTGTGAAGCGAGAATCATGTTATACCATCCACAATTTTTTAGCCTTAAATTATACAAATTATTTAATCTAAAGACGTTCTTCACTTTAAATATTGAAAAAATAGTGACTTATTACTAATTGCTTTATTAATTATTGTTTTAAGTATTCACCAAAGTTTTTTGTATTGAATCAAATGCGGAGTGAAGCTGAAACACTTTTCATAAGGTGATAAACACATGTAACGTTTCATTTTCGAGATACAAGCGGAATCTAATGAGAAAAACAGATGACTCACTTCCGTGCCCGATTTTCTTTTGTTTTCCAATTCCAAGGCAAACAATCTGTTTTCTTAATATTTTTGACCAGCTTTGTATCTCTGCCGCTAAATAAATTAAAATCAAAGTGAAAATTGCACCATATTTTCGTCATAAAATTGATGTTGATTAACTTATAATTTGTTAATTGAGAATCGCTAATGGAGAAAATCAAAAATTTTCTCTGCTTTCCAAAGGTTCTTAAGATTTACATGCCTAAAAATATTTCAGTTTTTGGTAGAACACTAACAATGACATAATAAAATAGAACTGTTTCAAGATCTACTTGTTAAAATATCTATTTTTGTGTCAAAATAATTAAAATGTGTATTACACCTAAGGTAAAAAAGAACATTTTCTAAATTACCTTTACCTTTCAAAATGGAACTTCATGGAAAACAGTTTTATTTTCTTATTAATTAACTCAAAGGTAACTATGTGCTTAACCCTTAATTATGTCCTTCCGCATTAATTGATTTATTAACATTGACGACATTGAAGAAAACTTAATTTTCAATGCCTTCCTCAACTGTCACCATTTGCTGAGTCATATGGCGATGACTAATCGGCCTAGAAAGGCAAATCCAAGTGTTTGGAATCATTAGACTGTGCTTAAGCACATACCTCGAATTATTCTTCATCTTTCTCGCAGTACAAGACCTACACCTGGTTTATGACAAATCCTAGCATATAAAATGCTTGTAACATTGAACTAGTTGTTCAGAGCGCTCTCTTTTACGACTACGTGCTGAAAAGTTTATGCACAACGTCCCCTTTTAATTATATTCGTTTATCTGTCTTTCCTGCAAACTTACTTTCCCCTATCTCCTTATCTGACTTTCAATTTTATTTAACCACGTGCTGATTCAAGCTGATAGATTTCGCGAAAAAGATCCTGGTCAGGTTAACTATTTTTAAAGAATTTAAAAGAGCATGGGTCACTTATACCGTTTAATTAATCGATTAGGAAAATCCATCTGTCTTGTATAACGTGATGTTTAATGGATAGTAATGCTAAAGAGGAAAAAATGGGAATAATTATTTTAATCTCTTAAGATTTATGTGCGGATGGAAAAATAACTTTGTGTAAGGTCAGGCAGGTAAAAATAAAGGCTAAATTTGTAGCTGAGAGACTTTTCATGTTTATTGTTAAGGCTTCTCCTTTTTGTCTACGGTCTGTCTGCCTTCAAGTGGACACAAAGCCATAGATTCCTGATTTTTTAAATATACCAATTCTGTTTCTTTTGTCGAAAATGGCAAGAAATTATTTTTATTAGTAACATTTATGTTTTTGAAATTGTCAAAGCCCCTCACAATGCTTAGGCACCAATTTCATATAAAAACCTCCAATAGTCTTTGTTTTAGTATGGTTCAAATTTTGAAATCTACAGTCAATTAAATAACTTTTTACGGGTATGATAACTTTTTAGAAAATAACGTTGTGGAATACAGTAGATTCTTTCTTTTGGATTTGAACTAAAGGTAGCTAAATAATTTCTTTAAAGAATTTTCTCTCTGTATTAAATTTCCCATACAAATGGTTTTGAGGTGTAGAAAATGATCATACCAGTACATGCCTCTGCGCTGAATCTTATCGAAGCCAAAGTGTTTAAGATAACAGAATTTCGGGCCTTTTTCAAGATGTTTTTAATGTAAACAAAAAAGATTCGACGGCTTTGTATCTACCGGAACACGGATACTTTTGGTGCCATTTTTTTTCTGAAAGTGTTTATTGATATAATAAGTTTTGGATCGCTTAATTCGTTTGTCTGTTCTTTTTTTAATTTCAGATTTATCATAAATTAATATTTCGGATTTGTTACAGTCAATTTTTTACGCACTTGCACTAGTTTTGATTGAATGCACAAATTAGAGGAACAGTGTCTGCTTTTATGTGTTTGATTTGTTCGTAAATATTTCACGTATTCACTTTATCCTTAATAAATATAATAAATATTCCTGTTTAAATATTTCTCTTTCAAGCTTCCATTATTCCATCTATTTTTTATTTATTTATTTATTAGTTCCAGACTTTGTCTTTAAAGAGATAGCTATTTTTCATAAAACTTAATTTCTAATTCTATATTTTCCTCGCCGTAACGAAGACTAACATTTCTCAGGTTGATCTGATTTGTTGCTGCTCTCTTAAAAAGTAACTTTCTCCGTCTTCATAACGGAGCAGTTCTCTAAACTTACACTGTAACAGATGCAGTAATTTAATTCTGTTCCTCGTTGTCTTAAAAGATTATATTTTCTTGTTAATTGGCCAAACTGGAAATCCCAGTTGATGTAGTACAATTCCGGAATCCGTAGCCTCGGAAGAAGTAGAAACAGAAAAGTATGCGTTGTCTCTATTCCTACTCGTTGCTGCGGAAAAATGGTGAGCTGAAGGTCAAACAGGTAAAAATGATAATAAGATGGATATTTTTGGTTCGGTTCGGGAAGTGTACCATCATTTTAGGAAAAGTAACAGGTACTATATAAAATAAATTACGTTAAATAGTGCTTAGGCTGATTGAATAATGTTTTAGCTATTACATATTGTGTTATATACAGGGTGGTCCAAATTTTATGCAGGAAACTTCGAGGGCGGATAGATCTGTTTAAAATAATATGTGTTAGCCTTATAAACATTAGTCACGAACGGCCCCGTTTTAGAGATAAAGGGTGTTGAAGTGGTTAAAAAAAAATGTTTACAAGTTGTAACGGATTTATATTCTAATGCACAAAATACGTATAAAAGGTAATTTGAATTTTTTCTCTAAGATTCGCCGTTTTCAAGTTATTCATACCAATACAATCTCCTTGTGCAGACATTTCTAACCATAATATTACAGTGATATTTATGTTTATGCTTAAAAGTAGAATTTGTAAGCACATCAATAAAATTCTTTAAACTCGTTTCTACACCACCTGTGAGGTAGAGTTCCTTACGCGTTTTAGTTTCCCCTGGAAGCCTAACCCACTATCTTTACAAATAACAACTTTAATCAATATAATAATAAATGTACATTTACCAAAGGCGAGGGGTAGTGAATTTTCACAATCTGCATATCTGGTCAAAAGAAAAATCCTCATGATTCCTCCTCAATAAAGAAAATCCTCCGCAATAAAGTTTGTGGACCTTTCTTCTTGCCACCAGTCTAAATTCTCAGTCATTTATAAACTTTCTAGAAAACCATCTATTTGTATTATTAGAGGATGTTCCATTAAATATACGACAAAGTAGCTGGATACAATTATATGGGGCGATGGATAGGTAGAAGACCAAATGCCAATGTCAACCATAGTAGTGCAGAGGGTCTAATGTCTTAGTCAGTCAGTTTGCCATATCTAAACCACCTGGACTTCTATGTTTGGGGTTATCTGAAAAGTAAAGTTTACTCTACTCCAACAGATACAAGACCACAACTACTGCAACGAATAGAAGACGGGTGTAATGAATTAAAAGAAAACCACCACATGATACTAGCTTTAATTAATTCCATTAATAGAAGATGTCAGAAATGTATCGATGTGGGTGGTTCGCATTTTGAACAATTTTGTAAATACGTAACGTTAATTTTGTTTCTTGTTTAGTTGCTGTTGCTTGGTAAATATATTTTTATTATTTTGATTCAAATTCTTATTTGTAAAAAGTATTAGGCCTCCAGGGAAAACTAAAACAGGAACATTACCTCACAGGTGGTGTAGAAAGGAGTGTAAATAATTTTGTTGATGTGCTTACAAATTGCACTTACTTTTAAACATAAACAAATATTCTTGTAATTTTATGGTTGGAAGTGTCTGTCACAAGGGGATTGTATTGGTATGAATAACTTGAGAACGGCGAATCTTAGGAAAAAATTCAAGTTATCTTTTTTACGTATTTTGTGCATTAGAATATAAATCATTTACAATTACTTGTAAAAAATGCAGTGGCGTAGATTTTTTTGTAAAAAAAAGGGTGGCCCCCGTCTAGTTGTACACCACTGGTTGAACCTTTAAAGCTCATATTTTAGGGAATGTAAGGCCTACTATCTTAGATTATTATCTGTACTAAATTTCATTGTGATTACTAAATTTTATTGTAATCGGTTAATAGATTCAGGAGATATAGACAAATAATCATTTTTTTTAACAACTTCAACACCCTGTATCTTT